TGATTTTTACAAGTGCACGATATCTGTCTAAATGTGAACATACCATACCACACTTTAAAACCTTAATAGCATAACAAAATAATTTTAAATGGAAACGTGTTTTGAGCACTGAAAAATAATCAGTAGAACACGTGGCATGTTTGACATCCTGCTGCTTAAATGATCAGTACTTTACAGTTTGCAATTGACAGTTCAATCCTCTGGAACCCTGCTTCACAAAACATATTGTGTCTTTATTACTTTAATGTCTGCACATATTAAACATTCCATTTGTGAGGTTACCAAGAAAATGCATATGCAAATATTACCAGTAGGCAGACTTCACTAGAAAATAAACTCATTAGCAACACTGTGGGAGTAAAATGGGTGTTGCTTAGTGACAGTTCAACCAAATGGTTTTTAACTTTAATCCACATTTATCTCCATCTATGTTTAATTAGCATGTTCTCTACCTTGCTTTACCACAAAGCAATTTTGTACATATACTATGATATGAAGGATGTTGTTCTATTTCTCTAGGGTATATATCCTAGATACAAAATCAAGCTTGTAAAAAATCATTGCATAGGTTTAAAGTTGTAGTATGCTACCTATAGTGATTTTTGTTATATTTTATATAGATCTGTCTATTTAACTACCTGATACATAATGATCAACCATATATTATCACAACATAATGCCACAGAGGGATTGGAAATAATTCATAAACCAAAAACACTGAATGTGTGTAGAGTGGATGGCGTGTGTGTACAGTGGATGGCCTGTGTGTGTAGAGTAAAGTTGATACAGTGTGTGTGTGTAGTGGATACAGGGTGTATAGTGGATGGAGTGTGTGTAGTAAATGCAGTGTGTATTTTAAAAAAAAAAATATGTTCAATGTCATTTTATTTAACCCAGTGACATTGTGCAGACTCTGTATTACATCTCCAGCAGGCAGTAGATCCTCGTCCTCTCTTGTAAGCCGGCATGCGCGCTGCATAGAAACATTGCTGTGATAACCTGCATAAATGCTCTGAGAAGAGAACCTCCTGGGCCCCCTCTTTAATCTATATGCCAGAAGTGGACGAGGACATGCAGGCGAATATATATGTAGCAATACACACTATAGATGTGTGTGTGTGTGTGTGTATATATGTATGTGTATGTGTATAAAAAAAAAAAAATATATATATATATATATATACCGACATTGGTAGTAAAGGCTGTACCCCATGCTGGCAGCCCTGCCTATTACTGTCCCGTTCTCGTACCCGCACCCTATACTTTCACGTGCAGGACTTTCCGTTCCTTATGGAATGTCCTCGAAAGTCACATTTAACTTTCCCTGTATCTGCAGTCTTTAAAAAAAATCTTTTAAAGGATTTAGGGAAGCCAATTGACTCCCACCCCTTCCTCTGCTGTCATCCATTTGCTGTGCTCCCTTCTCCCAATCACCCATTCCATCCTTTAGGTATATCTAGATCATTTGATTCCCTCACTGCACTCTGTGTCTTTGTCATTCATCCTTTTATATTCTTCACCTATTGTTTCTGTATGTCAAATGTGTTTTGTTAGAATTGTGTGTCTTCTTTTACCTATTGTAGAGTGCTGCAGAATGTTAGTGTTATATAAATAATTGTATATCTAGCTATCGATCTATCTTAAAGGTATTTGTGCAGGTAGCTAAATCCAGGTAGTTATTTTCAATGCTGATCTTACAACAAATCTATCTGCATTGCATCTGTCTGTTTATCTGTGCATCTGTCTGTATATCTAAATATCCAATGTCTATCTGCTGTCTGTCGTGTGTGTGTGTGTGTATGTATACAATATATTTTTATAGCATTTACTATCTAAAAAGAAAATTAAGAATAGTGTTGTAGTTAAATATGCAAGCATTTTTTTTGTTTTAATTATACCATTTACCTCCAGTACCAGCCAATGTTGCCCCATTGTATTAAACCATCTGACTTGCTAAGCCCTCTGGCTGCATTCTCTTCTGTTGTTGCTG